AGGAAGACAGCGTCTGACACTGGTAGCAGACATACAGGAAAACATCTGACACTGGTAGCAGACATACCGGAAAACAACGTCTGACACTGGAAGCAGACATACCGGAAAACATCTGACGCTGGAAGCAGACATACCGGAAAACATCTGACACTGGAAGCAGACATACCGGAAAACATCTGACACTGGTAGCAGACATACCGGAAAACAACGTCTGACACTGGAAGCAGACATACCGGAAAACATCTGACGCTGGAAGCAGACATACCGGAAAACATCTGACACTGGTAGCAGACATACCGGAAAACATCTGACACTGAAAGCAGACATACCGGAAAACAACGTCTGACACTGGTAGCAGACATACAGGAAAACATCTGACACTGAAAGCAGACATACCGGAAAACATCTGACACTGGAAGCAGACATACCGGAAAACATCTGACACTGGAAGCAGACATACCAGAAAACAACGTCTGACACTGAAAGCAGACATACCAGAAAACATCTGACACTGGTAGCAGACATACCGGAAAACATCTGACACTGGTAGCAGACATACCGGAAAACAACATCTGACACTGGTAGCAGACATACCGGAAAACAACGTCTGACACTGGTAGCAGACATACCGGAAAACAACGTCTGACACTGGTATCAGACATATTCCAAGATACCATCGAACGCTGGAACTAATCACATCCCTTCCTAAAAAAAAATGCCGCCTATGAAACAGCGAGCAAGAGACGCGGTCTCCAGGACCACGTGTTCCAGGGCGCGTGCAGCCAGCCTTTAAGGACGGAGAGACACGTGTAGGGGGGATAGAGGGGGAGGGATAAAGAGGGTAGAGAAGGGGACGTGTGCCGAGGAGAGGGGAGAGAAGTAGGAGGAGGGGGGGGGGGAAAGAGAGAGAGAGGACAAAGAATAGAGCAACTGTTGCCTATATGACCCACTGAGGGTGAAGGTATATATGTGTGAGAGAGGGGCGCGCCTCACCCCATCATTCTCTCTCTCCCTATCCGGGTGATTAAGCAGCTTTCTTCTTTAATCTTTCTTTCTTTCTCGGTGCGTTGGGCTTGTTCTTTCTTGTATGGGTTTTGCACTGTCTTCTTTCTTCCCGTCGACATCTTGTTTTGGGTTGCTCCTTCATTCAATCTTGTGAGAAAAGGGTGGTTTGGGGTCAAGCGAGAATGATAGCTTGTGGGGTCCAGGGAGAATGACACCTTGTGGGATCAAGCGAGAATGATAGCTTGTGGGGTCCAGGGAGAATGACACCTTGTGGGGTCAAGCAAGAATGACAGATTGTGGGGTCAAGCAAGAATGACAGATTGTGGGGTCAAGCAAGAATTACAGCTTATGGGGTCAAGCAAGAATGACACCTTGTGGGGTCAAGCAAGAATGACACCTTGTGGGGTCAAGCAAGAATGACACCTTGTGGGGTCAAGCAAGAATTACAGCTTATGGGGTCAAGCAAGAATGACACCTTGTGGGGTCAAGCAAGAATGACAGATTGTGGGGTCAAGCAAGAATTACAGCTTATGGGGTCAAGCAAGAATGACACCTTGTGGGGTCAAGCAAGAATGACACCTTGTGGGGTCAAGCAAGAATGACACCTTGTGGGGTCAAGCAAGAATGACAGCTTATGGGGGTCCAACAAGCAAGATAACTTGTGCATGGAGTTCAACCAAGATAACACCATATTGGGGGACCAGCCAATAAAATATTTTCACAATAATTAAATGATAATTGGAAAAAATAACACTTCCTCTATATTTTAAGAATGGGTAAAACTGGCCCCCGGCAAGGGGCGGGAAAGTGAGGGGCATCGTAGGGAGAGGGTGAGAGAGGCCAGAGGGTAACATATGGAAGAGGGGGGAAACGACTGGTGGGATGGGGACTATCCCACATATCTACCCCTCCTCTCAACTGTCTCACCTCATCTTTCCTCCTGCACATGCCTACCCCCTTCTCATTCCTGACGAAGGAAGAAGAGGAAGGTAGGTATAAAAGAAAACGCGATGCCATCGGATTCGTTAGTAGGACAAAGACCGACGGGGCCAGTGCGCTGGTCGACCTCCCTCAGGCGACAGTACCCCTACTCTATAGACGAGGGGACACTGTCACAACTAGATCGCCAAAGGGGGAACGTTAAAAGATGTGTGTGTGTCCACGCCTGCCCAAAGGGGAGACACTTGAGGGGTCTGGTCCGGCTGGCCTGAGAATCACTCGTCCTCACATGATTAGATAAGCTAAAGTCATAATTGGTTGGGGAGTCGGCGTGTCCAAACGGGAAGGTGGCCGGATGCAATGAAGCTGTGTGGCCGGTTAGGTTATAGATTGGTGATTAGATAGATTATACATTGGTGAGGGTGTGGACTGTAAATATATGGTTAGATTGATTATAGATAGGAGATTAGATAGATTATACATTGGTGAGGGTGTGGACTGTAAATACATGGTTAGATTGATTATAGATAGGAGATTAGATAGATTAAACATTGGTGGAGCATTGGAATGTATATACACAGTTGTATAGCTTATAGATAACTGATTAGATTATAGATTGGTGAGTGCATAGAATATAAATAGATAGTGGGGTAGATCATTACCAGATAGATTGTAGACAGGTAGTTACATAGATTGTAGAGTAGGCGAGTGGGTAGATTTGACACATTAAGGTTAGATGAATCAGAGATAGGTGAGCTGATAGATCAAAGAAAGGAGGCCAGATAGATTAGAGATAGACATTAGATTATATATAAGCAAGTGAATGGCTTAGAAATAGATGGCTAGGTGACCCTTTGGATAAATATCTGGAGACTTTTAATAAGAGAGAGAGAGAGAGAGAGAGAGAGAGAGAGAGAGAGAGAGAGAGAGAGAGAGAGAGAGAGAGAGAGAGAGAGGGAGAGAGGGGGGGAAGGGGGATTTAAGACCACTGGATCATCTTCGTGTCATTTCCTATACGTTGCATATTTTACGCAGTGATAAATGGCTGCTCTTAAGCATCTTGGCACTCCTCTTGCACACCTGTTGATGAATGGTGCCAGGTGGAACCTTGATGACGTCATTACTGTTATAGGTGACACCTGGATGACGTCATCACTGTTATAGGTGACACCTGTATGACGTCATCACTGTTATAGGTGACACCTGGATGGCGTCAGTAATACCCACTAAGTGATCTAGCCGGAAAAGGACGGGACTAGGTCCGTCACCCACTGTGACGGACCCAGGCGTCGTGACGGTGGGGGAGACAGAGGGGAGATGAAGAGGGGACAAAGTGGGGGGAGGGGGAGAGGGGAGACAGGAAAAAAGAGGGGAGGAGGAGGAGGGAACAAAACAGTGAGACGCGGATAGATGGTGTTGTAAGGGTTAAAGGGTTAGAGTAGAAGTGAATAGAGGGGATGGAGGAAGAGAGAGAGACAGACAGTAAGAGAGAGAGAGAAAGGGGGGAGGGGAGATAGATAGATGTTAAAAAAAAGGCTTTTTAGAGTTGAACTTAAATTTCCAAGACAAAATCTTCGAATGGGAGAGAGAGAAAAATGCGAGGAAGCAGCGAAGGAGAGAGAGAGAGAGAGAGAGAGGGGAAAAGAGAGAGGGGAAGGGAGAGAGGGCAGATGGGCAGAAAGAAGGGAGGGGAAATTTTCGAAAGAAAAAAAGGGCAGACAAAGACGATGGAGATTATGAGGGGAGAGGCGGGCGGCCGTTAGATTATAACTGTTGAACAGTGTGACACAGACACACACAGACACACACACAGAGACATGCACAGACACACGCAGACATGCACACAGACACGCACACAGACACGCACACAGACACGCACAGACACACACAGACACGCACAGACAGACACACACACACACACACACACACACACACACACACACACACACACACACACACACACACACACACACACACACACACACACACACATAGACACACACACACACGCACACACACACGCACACACACACACGCACACACGCACACACACACGCACACACACACGCACACTAACACACGTCGAAACACACACAGACTCAAATACAGACACACCAAAAACCCCACATGTAAATACAGACACACACACACACACAGAGCGAAGAACTACCACTCGTTTAACCTCTACGTAAAAAATACAACTGTTTTCCTTAACCAGAAACGTATAAACCCAAACATCCCGCCTAACCCTCTCGAGACCGAGGTATAGAAAACGTAAATATTTCGGGGCTTGCATTTTGGGTAATAAGTCACATTTGTGTCTGTTTAAATGCTCGTCTCGACTGTTTTGAGACATGTGTCCAGCAACAGGTATCCTAGCAACAGGAGGTCCCAGCAACAGGTGTCCTAGCAACAGGTGATCCCAGAAGTCCCAGCAACAGGTGATCCCAGAAGTTCCCAGAAGTCCCAGCAACAGAAGTTCCCAGAAGTCCCAGCAACAGGAGAACCAAGAGTCCCAGCAACAGGAGAACCAAGAGTCCCAGCAACAGAAGTTCCCAGAAGTCCCAGCAACAGAAGTTCCCAGAAGTCCCAGCAACAGAAGTTCCCAGAAGTCTCAGCAACAGAAGTCCCAGCAACATGAAGCCCCAAGAGCCCCAGCAACAGAAGTTCCCAGAAGTCCCAGCAACAGGTGTTCCCAGAAGTCCCAGCAACAGAAGTTCCCAGAAGTCCCAGCAACAGAAGTTCCCAGAAGTCCCAGCAACAGAAGTTCCCAGAAGTCCCAGCAACAGGAAGACCCAAGAGCCCCAGCAACAGAAGTTCCCAGAAGTCCCAGCAATAGGTGTCCCAGCACTCAGCAACAGGAGGACCAAGAGTCCCCGCAACAGAAGTTCCCAGAAGTCCCAGCAACAGGAAGCCCCAAGAGCCCCAGCAACAGAAGTTCCCAGAAGTCCCAGCAACAGAAGTTCCCAGAAGTCCCAGCAACAGAAGTTCCCAGAAGTCCCAGCAACAGAAGTTCCCAGAAGTCCCAGCAACAGGTGTTCCCAGAAGTCCCAGCAACAGGTGTTCCCAGAAGTCGCAGCAACAGGTGTTCCCAGAAGTCCCAGCAACAGGAGACCCAAGAGTCCAAGCAACAGTCCCTCCAAGAGTCCCAGCAACAGACGTTCCCAGAAGTCCTAGCAACAGAAGTTCCCAGAAGTCCCAGCAACAGGTGTCCCAGCAACAGGAGGCCCAAGAGTCCCAGCAACAGGAGGTCCCAAGAGCCCCAGCAACAGGAGGTCCCAATAGTCTCAGCAACAGGAACCCCACAGCCCCAAGAATAGTCCCCTCCAAGAGCCCCAGCAACAGTCCCGCCAAGAGTCCCAGCAACAGGAGGTCCCAAGAGCCCCAGCAACAGGAGGTCCCAAGAGCCCCAGCAACAGGAGGTCCCAAGAGTCCCAGCAACAGTCCCTCCAAGAGCCCCAGCAACAGTCGCCCCAGGAGCCCCAGCAACAGTCCCGCCAAGAGCCCCAGCAACAGTCGCCCCAGGAGTCCCAGCAACAGCAGGTCCCAGCAACAGGAGGCCCAACAGTTCCCAGGGATAAGGGACCCAGAATAAAGACTATCCATGAGGGACGGTTAATCAATATCAGCCGGGTGAGAAGAGCGGCTACTTTGTCTGAGTTTGGCACGGAGTCATGTCGAAGGTCCCCGGAAGTGGCGGTCTTTGTCTGCGGTCTTTGTCTGTGGTCTGTGTGGCTGCTTGCCGAGGGCATGTTTTGTGTCTGGGGGGGAGAGGGGAGGGGTCTGTCTGCGGTCTTAACTGCTCTTTTTGTCTGGTCTTTGTGAGGTTTAAGTGTGGTCTTTGTCTGTGGTCTGTGTCTGCGTGGCTGCTTGCCGAGGGCTTGTTTTGTGTCTGGGGGGGGGAGAGGGGAGGGGTCTGTCTGCGGTCTTAACTGCTCTTTTTGTCTGGTCTTTGCGAGGTTTAAGTGTGGTCTTTGTCTGTGGTCTGTGTCTGCGTGGCTGCTTGCCGAGGGCTTGTTTTGTGTCTGGGGGGGAGAGGGGAGGGGGTCTGTCTGCGGTCTTAACTGCTCTTTTTGTCTGGTCTTTGTGAGGTTAAAGTGTTTTCTTATCTGTGGTCTTTGTCTGAGGTCTGTGTCTGTGGTCTTTGTCTGAGGTCTGTGTCTGCGTGGCTGCTTGCCGAGGGCTTGTTTTGTGTGTGGGGGGGAGAGGGGAGGGGTCTGTCTGCGGTCTTAACTGCTCTTTTTGTCTGGTCTTTCTGAGGTTAAAGTGTTTTCTTATCTGTGGTCTTAGGTGATTAGGTCCTCGTTTATCGGTAGGGTAATTATTGAATATTCTAATATCACAGTAATAATAATTTACAATTAAGGACCGGTTGAAGGGTAACGAGGCTGTTCGTACCTCTAACAACCTTGAGTTGTGGTGCTTCAAGTCTTGTAAACAGTTTATTAAACACGTACGCAGAGCCTCAATGATTAAGGGGGAAAGATGTACAGGGTTTCGTAAATTATGAATCCCGGACGAGCTTAACTAGGCCGGAGGGTATAGGGCGGTTCCTGGGGAAATAGGGCCGGCATGTGAGCCTATATACCCTTGACATGGGCTATTGTTACACTCGCCTTGGCCGTTATCAGGTCGTGGTTCGAGATCGATAATGTTCCTCTGATGGCCAAAGCGCCCCCCCCCCAGCATCTGCTCTTCAGCTGCTCCTCCATCAGGTATATATGTATGTATATATGTGTGTGTATGTGTACTTTTAACAGTTGATGAGCTCTGAAGCGCTACGAGGTTAACATATATATACGTGTATATGTATTTGATACATATTTATCTCGATACTTTATTAATATCTCATTATGTCATTAAAGACATTGTAACTCACCTCACTTCACCTCTTTCCTGACTATATGTCCAACCTACTGATCTGTAAATCCACCCTTCTGAAGATGTGTTGTTAAATGCGAAAGTACTTAAGGAAATGCATGTCTTAATCCTTCCATACTGGTTTGACACTCATATTGTTCATAAGTGTTAATTTTCTTGATTTACACACACACACACACACACACACACACACACACACACACACACACACACACACACACACACACACACACACACACACACACACACACACACACACGCACACACACGCACACACATTTGTACGTGTGTGTGTGTGTGTGTGTGTGTGTGTGTGTGTGTGTGTGTGTGTGTGTGTGTGTGTGTGTGTGTGTGTGTGTGTGTGTGTGTACACTATTCTCTCCCCGCTCCCCCTCAAACAAAATTATTTTTCTTCCACGCTCTATACTTTTTTCAAAAGGTATGCTGAGTATAGCAGGAAAGTATACTGAGACAGTATGTGTGACTTTTCAGAACATACACAAGCTATACTCCGTGGACAGAGTTAGAGATGTATTCTACATACTGTACAGTATATACTAATATACACAACCTCTGAGCAATCACTCAATCACAGGTAATTGAAATGCTGTTTTACCTGCTCAAGTTACAGGTGTGTGTGTCACTTACATACCTGTTGTGTTGTGTAGTAACTCTTGAGCATGTGTCCTGTGTATTATCACGCGGTCCAATATCTATGCTATTTATGCCAAGTGAGGTCTGTTCCTGTAGATAAGACCCCCAAAAGGGAGCACATTTTGTGCCTTATCTGGAGAGAGAGTTGTGATGGAAGCTGGATTCGGGTGACCTAGGGTCATGTTCGCTCCACAGAGGTCGTGGCCCATGGAGGTCATCTCAGGTCATATTCGCTTCCAGAGGTCACACACTCCTTCCTAACACTGTCAACTTCTGCTGTCACTACACTGTCAACACCAGCATCTGAAAGGGAAAAAACGTCATGTCTGACAAACTTGATAGAGGTCTGACAAGGAACGCTGAGTAGGCTACATTTTCTTTTGATAATGTTTTTCTCACATATGGCTGTTGCGTAAAGCAGAGAAACAAGCTGGAACAACAGGGAAAGCGATGAATTGGCTGAAGGTGCACCTGACGGAAGGGAAACAAAAGGTCACATTGAGAGACGTCTCCAGCTGGTGGAATGTGAGAAGTAGGGCAGACACACACAGTCACACACACACACACACACACACACACACACACACACACACACAGACACACACACACACACAGAACACACACACACACACACACACACACACACACACACACACACACACACACACACACACACACACACACACACACACACACATACATACACACACACACACACACACACACACACACACACACACACCACACACACACGAATCACACACACACAATTGCTGTAAACAACCGATAGCTAGAAAGGCGGGATCCAAGAATCAATGCTCGATCCTGCAAGCACATATAGGTGAGTACATATAGTGAGTACACACATGTAGATTTGATAGAGCCCAGTAGGCTCAAGAATCTGTACACCAATTAATTGCCAGTTGAGAGGCGGGACCAAGGAGCCAAAGCCCAACCCCCGTAAGCACAACTAGGTGATTTCAACTACGAGAGTACACACAAACAAAATAACATCGCATCATAGAGGAAGTTGCTAAATATATGAATACCTTATAAAAAAAAAAGGTCTTTCAACCAATTTTATTCAACCTACGTGAGACCAATACTAAAATGCAGAACACTGGAATGTATAATCGTGAATCGCAAACTGGAGCTTCAAAAAGTAGAGTATCTTATGCCACAAGTATCATTAAGTAGAACAGGTTAAGGAAGCACAGCCTCAAAAGAAGCAAAGGGGGATATGATCGCGACATACAAAATACAGAGGGGAATAGAATAAGTGGACAAGTATACAACTTGTTTAAACCGAGTGAAAGGAATATGCAAGAACATTAATGGAATCTGAAGCCACAAATAAGACGACTTGCGAAGTTATTTTAAAGACAGTGACCAAACAGAAGTGGTGGAAGCCACCTCCTTCTTGACACGACGGAGAAGTGGAGCTTCAAGACAATTATAAACCCCACCAGATACGACGAGGTTGGGGATGAGGAGCTAAACCTCACCCCCCCTTCCCCTTTGTAATAGTTGACAGGTAAACACCACACACACTACTCACTACTCTACCCTCACTATACTCTACACACACTATACTCTACCCTCACTATACTCTACCCTCACTACTCTACCCTCACTATACTCTACCCTCACTACTCTACCCTCACTAAACTCTACCCTCACTCTACCCTCACTATACTCTACACTCACTATACTCTACCCTCACTACTCTACCCTCACTATACTCTACCCTCACTATACTCAACACTCACTATACTCTACCCTCACTATACTCTACCCTCACTATACTCTACCCTCACTATACTCTACACTCACTATACTCTACACTCACTATACTCTACCCTCACTATACTCAACACTCACTATACTCTACCCTCACTACTCTACACTCACTATACTCTACCCTCACTACTCTACACTCACTATACTCTACCCTCACTATACTCTACCCTCACTATACTCTACACTCACTATACTCTACCCTCACTATACTCTACACTCACTATACTCTACCCTCACTATACTCTACACTCACTATACTCTACACTCACTATACTCTACCCTCACTATACTCTACCCTCACTATACTCTACCCTCACTATACTCTACACTCACTATACTCTACTCACTATACTCTACACTCACTATACTCTACTCACTATACTCTACACTCACTATACTCTACCCTCACTATACTCTACCCTCACTATACTCTACACTCACTATACTCTACTCACTATACTCTACACTCACTATACTCTACACTCACTATACTCTACCCTCACTATACTCTACACTCACTATACTCTACACTCACTATACTCTACTCACTATACTCTACACTCACTATACTCTACACTCACTATACTCTACCCTCACTATACTCTACCCTCACTATACTCTACCCTCACTATACTCTACCCTCACTATACTCTACCCTCACTATACTCAGGACACATATCACACACTGTATCAGTGCACTACCCTCAAGTGCCACTTCCCAAAGCGTCACTTACCCCACCACTACTGAGAGATGGTGAGTCAGGGGGAAGATGAGTAAGGGGAGATGAGTCAGGGGAGAGGGGGGATAGTGAGTAAAAAGATGCTATAACTATGAGGGGAGATGAGTGAGTGGTTGCTCACACACCTGGTGGGGGGTGAGATGTTCTTCAACCCCCACCCCCTACCCCCCCCTTCCCCCCCCCCACCATTCCCCCCTCCCCCCACACCCCCCCCCACCCCAGCCCAGCCCAGCCCCTTAAACAAA